GGCAAAGGAATGCTGCAGGTCGATTCCGCAATTCGGCATTGCAGCTGTGAACAGTAATTAAAGTTACGCTACCGTCACTGCCTTCGCTATTCTTCGGCCGTCTTCGCACAACTCTTTGCGTACTGTCGAAGGCGCTTTTTCATATCTTGCGGCAGCTTTTCGTAGCACCTCTTACAGACAGGCTTCATATCCAGTTCGTAAAACTTGCTCCTACAATTAAAGGTGACCATCAGTGACGTGGAAGGGTGCAGCAGCTCGCAAGACGAACATACTTTTCATCCAGCTTCTTGTCGCAAAGGGTGCAGGCAAAACATTTGACGCACCAGGCCTTCTGAAGCGCCTGGAATGCGTCCTTGCGTATCACCTGACCGCATTTAAAGCACACATTCCCAAACAGCTACAAGCACAACGCTATCGCTGACAGACTACCAAAGGTACACAAAATCGTTACCAAATGAAAATGCGTTTCGCAATAAGCCAATCCCTTCTTTTCGAAATGCCTGGAACCAAGAAACGGCTTTTCACATTTCGCGCAAACGAAGTGCTAAAATCTTCAAAGGTGAACAAACTGAAACAGTTTTGATTTCAGCGGTATTTTACATCAGTTAAAAGTAACAAAACAGAGATTGCGCATTACTTTACGAACAACAGATAAGCTAGTAGGCTTTCAACGGTCATCCAAAACTCTGATTCAGTGTAATGATTTATGGTTAGCTTGTGTCACTAAAACTGACAATACAAGATTTCGGTCCCAATCCATTTGTAAAATACACAGTACGTCAAAACATATACGTTATTAATGCCCGGTAGCGTTTCTTCAATAATACAAATGCGTACGCCGGATTGTGGTAAGTGCCTGTCGTTTCTAAAACTGTACTTCAAGACATATTGAATTACCCTTTGCTCAAAGTCGCCTGAGATAATTTAGGCAGGCGGCCCCATCTAAACTATATTTGAGTGCCTTGTGCTGTATGCGTCTCGCGCTGGAGCAAACTTTCTTTTACTCACCTCAGTACCTTATTACGTAAATACGTTAATAGTTGTAATAGACAGTCACCCAGGAAACACCGCAAATACAGTCGCAAAGCCAGTCAGAAGGCGCTTACGGGTCGGGGTACGTTCGAAGACTACTAATGATGCAACGACAAAAATTATGTACAGGATAGTAAAAATCAAACGAATTCAAGGAATTCTGATTGCAAACGTTTGATTTTCTGGAAAAGACTGAATGAATTACGCATAAAGCGAACATAATGTGACATGAATCAGCGACAGAAAGAAAATGCTACGGAGAAGGCACGCACAGTCATGGAATTAAGGTTTTTATACCGTACTGAATGCAGGAGAGGACAGTGAAAAATGAAAAGAAATGAACAGAATGCATTAACTAGAATGCAAGAGGCGTAACATGCGGGAATGACGAATTTCGCAACAGGCTTCGAACTAAGTATCCTGACAAAAACAGCAAATGCTTGTCATGGGATTCACATATTTCATCCCTTGCCGCCAAACTCACAAGGGCTCTTTCATTTTTCGTATGAATGAAACGACTTGCAGTTAGCCTGGAACTGTTGCAGTTGTTCGGACAGAGCTTCATGATACCGTTTCTTCCATACACGCTGCTTCGCCCATTTCGATCATCTGAAACGTCGCCAGTTTGACCGCATCAGGCCCTTAATAATGTTGCTGGCCAGGTTTGATGTATCCCTTACAAAGCAGCCTGTAAATTCAGTCGTAGCGAATGCTGTAGAGCTCGGTGATAACATTTCTTCACATTGATAGTGCCCTGTATATCGAATCATCAAATAACCTGCAGCAAATTTACGACCGTCCGGTAAAAAATTGAAGCTTTCAGGTGATCGTCAGTAACTTTTGTCATTTGGTGCAAAATCGACCAGAACGGAGAAGCCTGTTTCCTCTAAGGAACAGCTCTATTGTCAGATAACACGAAACAGAACTGACCTCATGAAATTGCTGAAAATTCTGCGTTTATTTGCACATTAACATAAATTCGTTACTAATACTAACCTCTGAAACACTCCAAAACCTTGCTGTGGATAACTGATAACGAACGTATCTTAGGATATTATGCTTAGCGACTAGAATGGTACTTATTCAACTCATTCTCAAATCACGGCATGTGATGCATGTACGATGCTACAGTAAAAGAGAAAGTTTTGTTACTGGCAGAACATACCAAAGTGCTTAAACTTCGCAGACACCTTCACACCATAATCGAGAAAGACCGAATCAATAGCCAGAAACAGAATTGAAGTCATAATAACTTAAAATCTCAACTGAGTAACATTTTAGAATTACAAACTTTTGGCTATTCAAATGCTCAAGTTTAATGTTCAACTTTGATACAGATTTTGATCTCCTGATCACGACACACTATATCAGTTGGTAAGAGATGATGACGGCGTGCCAGACTGAAAGTTAACATCTTGAAAACATCCACAGCAACGACGGTGGTTCGAATACGTTAAGGAGTCTCGAACAGCACCGGTACTGACAACGGAGCGGAGGAAGAGTCGCTGACCCGGCCAATCTGGTTCAATTACTGCACAGCATCGTGACTGAAGTGGTCACGAACTTTGATTGCGAAATGATACTCCATTAATCGGACCCCGGTTACAAGATTTAGTTTATGCTGACGACACCGTGGTAATTGGAACGACGCTAAAAGAACTTCAAGTGTACTGAACAAGGTACAGGATGCGATTGAAGCCATCGAAGTGGGAAGTTCTTGCTTCGCCGTATCTCTGCAGGATATCAACATCATCAATATACAGTGGGAAGATATGTAGTATGTCACCAAGTTCTGCAATCTTGGATCAATTACCATTAATGATAGGAGTGAAGCAGATGTTCAGGAAAAAATCATTAAGGCTCGAATTGCGTACAACATGCTGCAGCAAATCTGTTGTCGATACGATGTCATATGTCAGAGAAAATCCATGTATATCTGGTAGCTATTCGACTGATGCAGGCCGCAGCTGCATGGACTCTTAACAACAAAAAAACTAATGCACTGAGCGTATTAAGCGCTGGTGTTAGCTCAGAATACTACTGATAAGCGAATACTACTGATGGCGAGTAATACTGATAAGATCACGAATGCTCAACTGCTGGAGGACGTTAAAACCAGGAAAAAAGGAGTACGTACTAACAGGGATTAGTATCAACTTTTCCTCTGATGAAATACGAAGAACTAAAACTTATGATCAATATCATGATTCATAGTGTGCCGAATCCATGCAGGAAAAGCCCGAGAGGCAGGTCAAAAACTTCATGGATTGGCAATGAGGCTAACTAACTATTACGGAGCTGGGCTCCACCTACCGACAAACTGAAAGCCAGGCCTAACACAAGTAATGGCTTTCAGTCATATCAGACATCCCATAGAAAAGAATACAATGACAAATGGTGTCAAGAAGCGCCAGGATGTCGCAACCCTGCGACATCTAAAAAGAAAAATTTTAGCCACTAATGCAACGCTTTAACTCCAGAACATTTTCATTTTGCATGGTAGTAATAATTTTGCATGGCAATCATCACCGTTACCAAGTGCATGGATATTTCAATGATTAAGACCATAAAATTCATCTCAGGACAAGAGTACAATAATGAGATGACACTTTTTGACACTCCAATATCAGATAACGAACGTCCCTAGTTCCCCTTTGCACTTCACAGACAATTACAGCACTCCAAAGGTACTTCTTCTAATACTCGATCTTGCAATCAAAAAGCATTTCTTTCAGCGCCAATAGCTCGAAGAGAGACTTCAACATACTCCAGATAACTGTCTGCTAATGGGCAAAGGCATGTTTATTTCATCGACATTTCCTAAAAATGGAGAATGTGCCGAACATCCGACTTATGCATCATTTGAACATTCCAAATATTTTGAATACCTCGGCGCGGTCACTTTATAGACAGTAACTATACAGTTCCCGAACCTAATGTTCCGCAGAAATCTGAAACAACACAATTTCAAAACCTGCCATTTCTTCACTGTATTCGTCTTTCAGTTATTCATATGGTTTATTCTTCATACACATGCTATTCGCCATATTCCGTTTCAAATTATACTAGATCCATTGTCAAGAAACATTTCATAACCACAATGTGCAAAATCAATTGTGCAATAATAAAACAGAACATGCGTACGTGGAATAAACAACATACGTACGTACAGTAAACCCCTGCAAACTTTCGCAATGAAGAATCATGTATCCGCATAATGAACCAGAATGAAACCTTCAAGCTACGGAGAAGAATTTTTTGGGAAGAAGACAGTTCATTAGAAACTTATCATTTCTCTAGCGTTATCAGCCGGTGTGGCATATCAAATTACATTGAATATTCGCAACCGCGTTAACATGGACAATTCTTACAGATGGCAAAAAACAGAAACAGTCAAAGATCGGAAAGCCAACAGTAACTACCACCAAGCTAACCATTCAGTCTAGTCCATGTCCTGGAAAATTGCTGCGATTTTGAAAAGAGCAACGCCAAAATCGCCAGTCGGCATCTAACAGAATGAAGCCATTCACAGAACAGCTCTTTCGCATCGTAGTCAACTGAAACGTAATTTTCAATTGCTGGGCTGGCTCTGCCGACATTTCTAGAGCGACTTTAAGCGCCAGCCTTCATATCACGTCATCCGGCATTTGTACACTCCTGGTGGTTATCTTGTGTTGTGTTAACAGCATAATATTCCATTAGTGCAGTTCTCCTGTTAGAAACGCTGTTTCATGTTGTTGCTTCTCTACGCTATCCTGATCTATTTCAACAGCCTCAAATTTTGCCACCATTACCGCATAAGACATCATGATTCCTTAATACTACCCTATTACACGTTTACAGAATTTAACCTTCAACAGTGCAAGAATTATCTAGCCAACCTTGTTACTATCTCATACATATGCTTCGCGAGTGCTAAAAACTTATTTCATAAAAGTCTTTAAGCTGCCTTTATAAGTGGTCATACACGAGCATTCCAACAATAAATCGCCTAGTTTTTAAGTGGGCGTCTTATAATATATCATGTTAGCACTGCCAAACTGTTTACACAGGAATAAAGAAACGCAAGATAAAATTTCCAGATGGGAAATTAAGAAGGACATTGATTCTGCACTGAACATTTGGTCATGAAACTGTGCAACATAAAATTAACCTCCTTAAAATTCTGGACGCTATAGATATGTATGTAAGCATAAATGAACGAAATACTCTGTGTAAGTCATATATTCCCTTATGTTATTACACTGCTTATACCGGCTACGGATAAGATAGATTGTTTTAAAGCTTAAAATATCTCTGGAAAAAACGTAAAAAGTAAATTACGATCTTGGGAACATTAATGCGACCGTTTCTAAAAGCTACAGGTCAACACAAGCTGAGCAAAAACATTGTATACATTCCGTCTTCAAAGCAAACTCCGTTCAAAGACGTGACACAATTAACGGCAAAACTCACTGAGTCTTACAAAAATCTCAGCAGGAAACTATGCAAAGTAATTTAACGCGAAGACAAAACATTCTTATAAAACTCGGCCGATGTAGGACCCAAGCCCGGAAACCAAAAGGAGGGTTGGAAACCGTGGAAAATTTCCAAAAAAATTTTGCCACCTACCACTCATGCTATTGACGCCATCGAAAATTATACCGGCACGGTCGTCGCCCGGGTTACCAAGAGCCGCGCAGGCTGTTGGGCGACAGAGGTAGACTCCGAAAAGTCGGCGATCAGAACCTGCTCACTCCCTCTGCCAGCCGCGAGCACAGCAGCACAACGACGGCTGAAAAAGACCAACGAAACGACGACGAAAATACCAGTCAGCAACGGAGTCGCCAGCCCTTTCGAACGGAGGAGGCAAGATGCCACT